AGGATTGAGGGCTTAGGGTTGAGGATTTAAGGGTTTAGGGTTGAGGATTTAGGGTTTAGGGTTGAGGATTTATAAGGGTTTAGGGTTGGATATAGGGATAATGGAAAAGAACATGGAAACTACTATAGTATATTGGGGTATATATAGGGATAATGGAAAAGAAAATGGAAACTACTATTTAGGATTTGGTGTTGAGGATTTAGGGTTTGGTGTTTTGGGCTTGGGATTTATGACTTAGGGATTGCATTTAGGAGTTGGGGTTTAGGATTTAGGGTTTCGGGCTTGGGATTTAGGATTCAGGGTTTAGGGCTAAGGCTCACAAGAATGAGGTTTAGGGTTTAGGGTGTAGGATTTAGTTAAGGCTTTTGGGTTGAGGATTTAGGGTTTCGCGTTGAGGTTCTAAGCTAAGTTGATGGCTGTTCAGTAACTTAAGCTGGGTCACCAGCATAAGGAACCCTTGAAGCTATGTTGGACTCATGTGTTCTAGTGGCGTAACTTAAGTTACCTAACCATACTTCTGGTAAGCGAGGAATGAAGGAATGGACTCATGTAGTAGTCTGAATATCACCCTCAGTTGAAGCTATAGAAGTTTGCATTTCCTTTTCCACTCCTTCATTGAAACCAGAGGTACGTAACAGCAACCCAGACGCCGAAGTTAGGACGTGGAAGCCGCTGGAAGCCCAGGACTTCTTCGTAGAAGCGCGCCAGCCGAGCCACATCGTGCGTCTCACGGGACACGTGGTTCAGGCATGTCACCTGGCACAGGAGGTTTAGGGTTTAGGGTCTAGGGTTTAGGGGGTAACCTAAGAATTAAGGCTTAGGGTAACCTAGGAGGGTTGGGCATAGGGTAACCTAGGGTTTAGGGCTTGGATCGCCGAGCTAACCATGGAAGACGGACCTTAAGTAGGGTATTTGGTAGTTTCCCAAAATAAGGGGACCCTAATATAGACCCCAAAATACTATAGTCCTTATTATGGGGACTCCAAAGAAGGTACCCCTAATTTTGGGAAACCCCAATTTGGGACCAAAACTGCCGAACAGGTCTAAACGATCGCAGCAACAACCAGGACGGACCAGACAAGGAAAGTAGGGCACAAGTGACGAAGCTTCTGTTTGTGGGTTGACCCTATACAATCCTTTGTAACGCAAAAAAAGCCCTCTTCACCCTGTATGAGCTATGGTCAGAGTCAATATTTTCTCAGAAAATCAATGGACATGGGACTGTTATACTAAACTCCAAGAGGGACCACTATGTCTACCCATTATGGTCCGTTGGTGAAGCTAATATTGACAATAGCTCGTACAAGCCCTATAAACCCCTACAGAATCCAGGTTTCCCTTTCATGTTCCAGTTTTTGCCATCTGATTCTCCATGCCATAATATGACTGTCCCCATAACTATAAGCTCATAGGCTCAGCTTACGCCCCCAACTAGCAAGCCTCGAGGCTACGGCGCTTTGCTGCTGCTGGGGGTTCCAGGGTGGAGCTGCCAGAGTCTTTGTCTCGTTGCAGGAAATAGCCGCGTTGCTCTGTGGGAAGCTGGGCGTCGACGTGACGCCAAAGTGCTTCGAAGTCGCCACCTACGGGCAGCGTTCGAGTGGGGAGAGCGGCTTTAGCAAGCAGCTGGAGGAAGGTGCCTTCGTCCTGCGGGAAGCTCTTAGCATCTGCCACCTTGTCTTCTGCACCCAGTTGGAGCTGTCCATTACGCAACCATCCCAGGTGCCTCGACAGCAGCACGCAGCGGCGGGTTTCCTCAGCCCGGACAGCTGAGTAGTTTGCAAGAAGCTCTGAAACCGTTGTGGCCTTGTTTGCAGCTGCTGCAAGAGCAAAGGCATCGTGGACTGCTAGGTTGGAGCCCTTTGCCATATGAGGCGTGATGGGATGCGCAGCATCACCAAGCATGGCTGCAAAGCCAGCCATGGGCCCATCGCTGGCTGCCATTGTCTGCAGGGGCTCTGCAATGTCGTAGATGTCATTCCAGAAGGGCTCCGGAGTCGCTTCGACGACTGCTCCCAAAGCCTCGCCCCAAACAGCCTGTGCCTCTTTGTGCAAGCGTTTCACATCTGCCGCAGATGCAGCGCTTGTCGTCCTCCCTGCTTCAGCAACAGGTCCCTGGGGCCGAATCTCATAAATCAGCCAGTTCAGAAGCCCATCGCCAAGGTCATAGAGTACAGCATGGCCACGGCCGCACTCGCTCATGATGAAGTACAAGCAGTTGCCATACAGCGGATAGGCCGAACGCAGATTGTTCCGCGTAGCCTCTGGTAGGTCTGCCTCCTTCACGACGCCCCTCCAGCCAGTGTAACCCGCAAAGCGGAGCTCCTTTCCAGGGCCTTCCAGCCCCAGCTGTGAGCGGAAGGCAGAGCGCGGGCCATCTGCGCAGATGCAGAGGTCACAATCAATAGGCTCCCCAGAATCCAAGTGTACACGCAAGCCTGGCTCGCCTTGTTCCAGCCGCTCCACTCGGAGAGCCTTGCGCCCAAAGCTGATGCTTTCTTCGGGCAGCCGCTGCATCAAGCCCTGCTGCAGCTGCGAGTACCTCGCGGCAAAGTACGGCAGCGGCTGCCGAAGAACTGCCTGGCCGGAGACGAGGCGCTCCTCACACCAGCGCATCCGCTGCAGCACCACGGCACCAGCTGGTGCACTGGCAGAAGCTTCTGCCAAGGGCACACCGAGGCCTTTCAGAACGGCCACTGTGGCTTCATCCATGCCAATGCCGGCGCCCGGCTGCAACCCGCTACTGCGCTCCACCACCTGGACATGCTGAAAGCCCGCAGCACGCAAGCAAGCGGCGGCTGCAGCTCCGCCGATCGAGCCACCGATGATTAGCACACGGGCCCCAGCCACTGCCGGCGAAGCAGGTGGCGCTTTGAGGGCTGGCACCTGCGCCAGCAGCTCCTCAACCGAGCCTACCGTGAAAGTAGCCCCGGTGGCCGGTGATGACATCATTCCTCCCATGGCTGCAAAAGAAGTAGCTGAATTGCTCGCCCAGGCTCTCCAGCTCGCAGTGCTCGTGATTATGTCAACTGCTACAACCCTACCGCTCGCTTCCGTGGAGATAGCTGGGCTGGGCAAGTAGTAGTGTTAATTGTAATACTTGCCGTAATTATTTCCGATTCCTTTGCGCCGGTCAGTATCATAACTAGTTCCTGGAGTGGCAACACTTAGTATACTGAATGTAGAAATTCAATACTGGTACTGATGGTGAGTGGAACATGAATCAGCGTTGAATGCGGATAGTGATGGTAGCTGGCTGGACTGACGGTGCATTGCAAGCAAGTGCTTTCACCCAGCGAAAGAGGGCATCACCAAAGATGGGATGCAGACTAACATGAGCTGTAGTCTATACTAATGCAAGAGGGGTTATATATAGGGGATTAAATAGGGGGCTACTCTAGGGATTAGTAAGGGGGATACTAGGGGTTTAGACTATAGCTCACATGTGCAAAGATTACAGCCACTTTAGCATGGCACTGGCGCCTCGCGGGTTTTCCTAAGATCTTAGCATGCAGCGCATCTATCCTGCCAAGTCTCTCTCCCGTTGATTTACAACATCCTGGATGGTTCTAAGTAAAATGCGGCACCCAAATTTCCAGGGTTTTGGTACACCCTAAACCCTACATAGGATACATGGGCAGGACGTGATTCTATACTGTAGCCACAACATTTCCAGGACTTTGGTACATAATGTCATGGAGGATCTTGTTCATCAGCCGTACACTGCACATGGACTTCAAGAGCGTTGTTCTGAGGCCATGGCTCTGCGAACTCATGCGCCACACCTTCAACCTGGGAAAGCAGTCTTGATTGCAACCCAAAACCAAAACCCCCTAGAGCTACAAACTGCAAACCCCAAACCCTAAACCCCAGTTTAGGGCTTAGGGTCTTGTAGGTTGGATGGAAGCATCTCAAACCTAGAGAGCGTCATCTATATACCTATAATAGCACACCTGAAGCCTTCGCCACATGCCAGATATCTCAAAATAAGTATGTTTGCGTCGACGCGTCTGAGTTAATGGGTGGCGTTCATGTACGTCTGCTGCTGTATATTGACTGAGTACGGGGCGTACCGTACACGCACATATAGCGCATTGCACATTGCGCGCACACCGCACGCAATGCACGCACACCCTCAGGCACACCATACGCACACCGTACGCAAACCCGCGCTCGCACCGTAAGCGCTCCCAACGCGCGAGCGCACCGCGCGCCCACTGTGCGTGCGGACCCGCACGCACACCGCGCGCGCATTGTGCGTGCACTGTGCGGGCGCCGTATGCGTATCCGTGTTCGCCACAGGATTCCGCTCGCGCACGTATGGGATTCACATGGTTAATTGCAAGCATGGCTTTTCAACTTGGACAATTTCGGATCGTGCAACCTCCCCTGTTTATCTGGTAGTTTTTGAAGGACAGGCACAACAGCCTCATTCAGATTCAGGCCTCTTTTCTCAGCTCGCTGCTGCATTGTCGTGTTCCACCCGCTCGGATTCTGTAGAGACTTCCTAATCCTGGTGAGGCCCCCCAGGCCCTAGGCCAATCTCGACGCACATACGTACACAGAAGGGTCTACAACGATAACTCATTCCTTCTGCTGATGCAGTTCGATTTCACGTCATGTTTGGGAGAAAACACGATACATGACATCTGGAGACATGTTTTCAACAAAAGCGTGTGAAGCACGGAAGGTGCAATCATTCACGAATTCATCTGAATCTGGAACTGAGGGCTCTGGATCCAGGTATGGATCCGAGCTAAGTCTAAGTACCCATGAGCTCCACGTACCTCAAGCCCTGAATCCCAAACCTGAAGCCTGATCCTTAACCCGAACCCTGAACACTAGACCCCATCCACTCTGCAAACTCTGTACGCCTGATCGACCCGATAGACCCTACAAAGAAGCCTAGGACCCAATACACCCTGAACCCTCCAGTAGTTGAGAAACAGAACTGATCCGCCTCCAAGACGAACGACCATGCAGGAGAGGTTATCTTCGGATCCACAC